TACAAGAGAGAAATTGATATAAATAGAAGAAAAAAATGAAAGTTTTTGTTCCACTTTTTTGAAATGCTTTAAGCTTGACTATAAAGCTGTACATTCCGCTTCTTGAATAGAGTAGGTACGAAGATTAAGCCGGAAGTTGTGGAATGATGCTCAAGTTCGGTCGACCGATCGTATTTACGGTAGGATAAGTCGACGGAACCGGTTGCTGTATGGCCATGGCGGTTATGTTAAGAAATTTAATTGGGTAGATGGTTGATAGACAGAACAATGAGTTGGTTGCTGGTTGTCTGCTGCTAAGGGACTGTTATGTTAATGGGCCGGAAGCTTTTATTGTTAGCCGTCCGTTGGCCAGTGGTTATAAAGCAAAAGCGGTGAATAAGTATAGTAAAGGAATATTTAATCATCCTAGTTTTTTTTTATCGGTCTTGGTCTCTGCATCAGTATAGTTGGTAGGTCTTAGATATGTCGATTCTTAGTTTTTGCAGTTTTAAACCACAGTTATTGGTAGCAGAAGATATAAAGAAATCTTACGTAGATTTTGTCCTTTTGCGTACATGAGATCACATTTCATTTAAGTTTAAATTCTGTTTTTTCTTTTTTTTAAGGGGGGGTGGGATGGGGGAGTTCCGCTCGAACAGTGACAACTTTGCAAGTATTTGTTTGTTTAATGTATGTACATATATGTACATAAAAGTTTTTTTTTCTTGTACTTTGCGGCAGAAGTTTTTTGAAGTTTCTCTTCTAAGATGATAAACAAAGTTTCGTTTACTCTATTTGCTCAAACAGTGTGTGCGGTTACAGACTGGGAAAAGAAAAACTTTTTATAATACTTTTTTGCCGCCTGGAATTCGGATCTTTTTTGTTCATCTATCGTTTTGTTCGTCTTTTTTTTACATGAAATTACTGGACACTGTTAGACTGGGGAAAAAGTTATAATATTTCATCATTTCTCTTTGCCTTTTGTTTGTCTCTTTTTATCTTTTCTTTTTGCCAATTGATGATTTTTTAAACTTCCTATATTATTCAGTCAACTGTGTATCATAAGCATTTTTTTTTGTTTGCTTTAGAATAATTGTAGTGGTTTTAGTGTAGTTTGGTTGTTGCAGAAAAAAATTTTTTTTGTGACAGTATAGAATAAGAAATGCAAATAATGTGGTAGAGTTTAATATTAATGACTAAGTGGCAGTGTAATTGGGTCAGGTTGATGGCGGAGATTAAGGTATTACTGAGGAACATATAATCAAAATAGTTATGAGAAAATTAATGTTAACTTGTGTTTTTTCTTCTCTTGCATTGTTTTTTTTTTATCTCTTCTGTTATATATATATATATATATATATATATATA